AAAAACCCCAAAACCCCAAAACCCCAAAACCCCTTAATCATTGAATTTGCTTTAAATTTCAGTAAAAGAAAGTTGAGAATAATATTTCATTTTGTGATCTTTATACCCTCATTTTGAGAGTTATATTGATCTATTCTGTTACATTAACTTTATCATTAAATAAGAGTGTTACCATTCATCTCAGTCCACTTGATCTCACCCTGATTAGTTAAACCTGGGTCAGAAGTGGTATCCTGAATGTCATATTTTGCACAGCAAGCAGTTTAAGCTGTTGTAGCGTTATGAGCTGGCACTTGTTGACTTGACTGCTCGTAGATATCACCATCATATTCTCTAATGTATGTTGAAATTTAGCCATTGGAAGCAATTTTAATTACTCTAGCTCCCATATCTAGGTCTCTAGTTCCACCGTATCCAGATTTTCTGCCATAAGCTAGTTTAACACCATGGTAATTGACCATAAAATCATTTTCAGCATCAGCTCCTGCACTTATCATTGCAATTTTATTTGAACTTTTTATTGCATCAAATGTTCCAGTATTTATTGCTTGACAGCAAACATCTTAACCGAAATGCCCATAAACTGGCATTGAGTTTACAGCAGTCATGTATTCTTACAAAGGGTAGGTAGTGAAAGCAAGATCACTTTGTTAGAATTTTGTTTTGTTTTATTGAGCAGATTCATTTAAGAACCATTGCACAGTACTATTGTTAATGCAAGACTTGCCCTGTTTGTTGCCGTCACAGTCATACCCACCTTAAGAATCAAGAATCCAAATGTTAAAAGCTACTTAAGTTCTGTCCGAGGTCATAACTGGAACTCTAGCTGTGTACTATCCAAGTGTCGAAGACTAAGGATTGTTGAGGCCACTCAAACTCAGGGTGTCTCCATGTAAATCTGAAGCTAAGCCTATTGAATGCTCAATACTAAACATTTAGTCTCTCTTTATTGATTCAGGGGCGTCTTCCCCGCCAGTTGATATCCAAGGAATTTATAAATCCTTAAAGTATTAAATTGCCTCTGTGAATTTATCTGTGAAAGAGTCCTCCATTAATGGGGCGACTGTGTTTCCAGTCAAGACGACTAAGTCAGGATTTTCATCATCAACAACATTTTGAACATTATGCATCGTGAATGCATAGTTAGTTCCATAGTTATCAATGAACATGTTGCTGAATTGCACAATTTTGAAGGTGCCCTCAGCATTCAATGATAATTATCTTGCAGATATAAATCCTACAGTGCTAATCAGTAAAGCTTATTAGATCAAGACTCTCATTAATATTTTTATTATTATAAAACATCTCACATTATTCAATAGAATCTAATTTAAATTGTTATCTAATTATTAATTTTAATAATACTTCATGGGGTTTTGGGGTTTTGGGGTTTTGGGG